ACCTTAGAGAGAGAGAGAGAGAAGAGAGAGAGAGAGAGAGAGAGAGAGAGAGAGAGAGAGAGAGAGAGAGAAGAGAGAGAGAGAGAGAGAGAGAGAGAGGACCCACCCACCACAAAACTTAGAGAGACAAAAAGAGAAAGAGAAAGACAGAGACAGAGAGAGACACTTAGAGAGAGAAAAAAAGAGAAACAGACAGACAGACAGAGAGAGAGAATGAGGAAGGGAGAGAAAGAGAGAGAGACCCACATAAACAGACGAAGATCCAGTGAAAAAATCATGTAAGATTTTTCCCACATCATAAGCTGCCGAGTGGAGGAATAACACCTAACAGCAAACATTTTTTTTTAAGGCGGAAAAAAGAAAAATCAACTAACTCCCGGGATACCAATGATATCCGGAGTTCATATCAGAATGAGATCTGTCAACTGGGGTCAATTTCCCAAGTTGGCAGTGTCTCTCCCGCTGAAGTTGACGACAATCAGAACTAACTTTTGGGTACAGAGTCTCCGCTGCAGAGATTGCTAGATCAGCTGCGAATGCTGCAAAAGCTGCGTATGTATGTGTGGTTTATATAAATCGGTTTGTTGGATATTGAATAAAATCAGATTTTGTTGATCTTTTTCATTTTCGTTGTTGACTTTAAGTATGGTATGATAAAAGATCGTAGTCATTGTAAACAAGCATTCATTAGCACACTGGTAAATACTATCGGCAATATGTAAAACATTCATTAAGAAAATGACACAAGGCTGGCTAATGACACTACACTAAAAATGGACTTGTACAAAGGAGTAGACAATGAGTAACAACTTTTAGGCTCTCATTATATACTCCTTTTGTACTGCAGTATAGCAAGCCCTAAGAAGATTGCAACGTTCTAGTAAATTGCAACAATGCACTTCTGAGACAACAAACGACGCTAAACTGTGTACAAAAACTCATCCCAGAAAACACAAAGAACCTTAACTTTTGTTTACCTCGATTTACCTGAATGTAGTTTCTTTACTGCTTATGAAACGAAATAGACTATTCACCTGTACAAGTATAAAATTCCAGATATCTCTACATATATACGAGTGAAACGATGATAAAGATTATGAAATCGATAAGTAAAATGAAACATCTTACCATGTTGGTATTAGTCATTTTCTTTCATTTCTTTTCGAACATTCCAAATACCGCGAACTTTTCCCCGAGTCCGTATCTGAATGTGGGTTTACAGACAAGTTTAGCATTATATATGTAGGACGTAGCTACAGAACACTGGCTTAGAACTTTGACTGAATCAGAGTACATTTTTGTTGTGTTATTTCACAAGTAAGAATTTTGATTGTATATCATAATTGCAAATTGCTATATGCAACGTGCGTTATAAGTTTTACTGTATTTGAATACCTAAATTACATGCCCATTCTGCATATGGTTAGAAATTTTGACTGCATTCTGTATCGGTGAATTACAGACCTCGCGTCATATATCATACATTTTAACACTATGTATTTCTTGATATCCTTCTGACAGTGACATTCTCGTCAATATCCTGCTTGACAAGATGTGATATTGGCTGTTGCGTAATCTGATGGACGGCAGTCACATCGACTTAAAATGGGTCTTGCATATTGGCAGCACTCATCGCTGTTATTGAAAAAGAAAGAGCAAGAGATAGAGAGAGAGAGAGAAGAGAGAGAGAGAGAGAGAAGAGAGAGAGAGAGAGAGAGAGAGAGAGAGAGAGAGAGAGAGAGAGAGAGAGAGAGAGAGAGAGAGAGAGAGAGAGAGAGAGAGAGAGAGAGAGGGAGAGGAGGAGGGAGAGAGAGAGAGAGAGAGAGAGAGAGAGAGAGAGAGAGAGAGAGAGAGAGAGAGAGAGAGAGACGAGAGAGAGAGAGAGAGAGAGAGAGGAGAGAGGAGAGCGAGTGTGAGAGGGGGGATGGAATGAGAGAAAGAGAGAGAATTTTTAAAACTGGAGATTATTCTAAGAGACAGAAATAGAAAGAGAGAGCGATACAGTGCGACAGACAAAAGAGAGGGAATAAGTAGGAGAGAAAGAACAAGAGCGAGATAGAGGGAGGGAAAAAAAGAGAGTGAAAACAGAAAAAAAAACGAAAAGAAAAATGAGACAAAGAATGCTTTCAAAAGTCGACCAAAGTCCTACTAGGAAGGATGTTCAAAGAGAGAGCTGCGCCAATTAATTAATTATTTTTTTCCTCAGCTAGGTAAAAAAAAGAAAGAAAATAATAAAAAAGAAAGAAAGAAAATAGATTACATTTTAAGAAATTAACATTCCTAAGAGGAAGAAAATATTACATAATCAACAAAAACCAAAAAAAATCACATTCACTTCTTTTCTCCATACTCATCCTCCCACACGTTTCCCTTGCCATAGAGGTGAATATTGCTCGCGACTGTGCTTGGGGAAGAGTCTCAGTCTTTTAAAAGGATTTCAGGCGATAATGCCTTGGACAAGTTGCCGGCTGCGATAAGCGACGTTGCTGATGTGTACTTTGCATTTGACTTTGCATGAGGGGGTTGTGGGGGTGCCGAGGGGGGGAGGGTTGTAATTACAAGGAAGGGAAGAAAGATGGGGAGGAATTTGTGTGTGTGACGGGGGGAGGGGGTCGTGTGTGTAGTGGGTGGTGGGGATTGTGTGGTGGGGTTGGGGGGGGTGGTGTGTGTGTGTGTGTTGTGTTGTGTGTGCTGTGGTGTGGGTTGTGTGTGTGGAAATGTATTCTGTGATGGTGCTTTGTGTAATCTTGTTTGATGAAATTATCTGACAGGAAGAAATCTGTATCTTTAAACATAACAATTATACAGAGGCAAGCAATGACATTTAACGGAAACGCATCTTATGTATAAATAATTAATACTACAAACACAAAACTAGCTAAGAGAAAACTGCAGTATGTAATTAAATGGTTGTTACTAGTTTACATGGGAACATTGTTACTTTGAGGTCAATTTTGCAGCAAAGTTCCTCAGGGCCGTAACTGGTGTCTTGGGCCTAACATGCTATAAGGTTGGAAATCGCTACTCACCGCCGCCAGCAAGAAAGGACTGAATAACCCCTATTCCACTGCTACATAGACAAAAAGAATAATAATGATAATAAAATAAAAATAAGATAAAAAAAGATAAATCCATATTAAATTTGCAAATAACCTAAAGCTAAGTGCTCTTTTTCCTTTAAAAAAAAGAGTCTACATCAATAGAAAAGAAAAAAAAATAGAGTGTTAAACAGAAAAGAAAAGATTCATTCAAAGCACGGACTCAAAAGGCCATACACGGGAGACCAGTGAGACGCATTCGGGTGCCAGGACCCTCAGGAAGTGCCTGTTTCACGAAGCGTTGTACGACGCTGACAGTGCAAGGGCCAATTTGTAATAGGTGATCGGGGTGAATGTGTGGGGCGTCATTTATTAATAACTATGAATTGGTAGCTGAGTAGTGAATAATGGGTGAAGTTATAATGCATTTATGTTTCCATTTATTCTATCAATGGTTTAATGTCATTGAGAAGTAAGGAGTATTATGATCATGTTGATTCTTTGTGAGGGCGTGATAAACATATAACGATGATTAATTCCTCAGGAAATAACCATAAGTTATAGACGATATATAGATATATATATATATATATAATATATATATATATATATATATATATATATCATATAAATGTTTGTGTACATATATATGTATATATATATATATATATATATATATCGAAATGTTTGTGTACATGTGTGTGTGTGTTTGTTGTGTGTTGTGCATATATATATATATATATATATATATATATATATATATATATATTATATATATATATATATATATATATATATATATATACATACATATATATACACAATCCATCTGCGTGTTTATGTATGTATATATATATATATATATATATATATATATATATATTTATATATAATATGTATAATACATACATATATTACACATTATTCCATCTTTATATAAAACACAGCAGTAGAAAAGGGGTTATTCAAGTCCTTTCTTGCTGGCGGCGGTGAGCAGCGATTTTCAACCTTATAGGTGTAAATGTTTAGGTATCGATTCCCTTGTTTTCGTTTTATTCCGTCTGGCGCCTCCCACGGTTGCTTGAACGTGGGCCTCTCAGGGCAAGAAGGGCATGATCTCTCTGAGCCAGGTCTGGTGCTTGTTTATATGTATGTACATGTGTGTGCATATTATATATGTGTGTGTGTGTGTGTGTGTGCATCCGCGTGTGTGTTTATGTACATGCGTATATATATATATATATATATATATATATATATATATATATATATATATATATATATATCGTGTTTGTGTGCATCCGTGTGCGTGTTTATATGTATATGTATGTGTGTGCACATATATATATGTGCGTGTATATACCAACAAAAAAAAAAAAAAAAAAAAAAAAAAAAAAAAAAAAAAAAAAAAAACGGATCCCCCTAACCCCCCACCCTTCCCCCTCCCCCAGTCTACTACGTGCTGGTGGCGTCCTACGAGGTGCAGTGGGACTTCGTGCTGGCGCTGCGGGAGGAGGCCGGCGACCACCTGGCCGAGTACGCCATCGTCACCATCGACGACGACAAGTACAACGGCGGGAGCGAGACCCAGGTCGTGCGAGGTAAGGCTTCTGCTCGATGCGGGTCATTCACGCTTATGGACGCGTGTGCAACCAGATGCATGCGCGCACACTTACCCTTACTTTTAAAACCTTCGCCAGTGCTGGCTCGCTTCGAACCTCTGAGGCCCGTACTTTTAAAACCTTTCGCCAGGGCTGGCGAAAGGTTTCGCCGGGCGATCCGGAATTTCGTACTTTTAAAATCATGACTGGCGAACGTTCGCCAGGGTTGGCGAAAGATCATATTGGAACTGCCTGGCGAAGCAAAGGCGCGAGAGCTGTTTGAAGACCATTTTCTTGCTTTCAAGTTATAAATTAGTAACACATTTGTGTATGATATGATGTAGGAATCACATTGAAATTCTAAAATATCTTAAAATCATAATTTATTATGAAATAACGTATATACGTATTTTTTTTCAAGACCTTCGATGTTCCAGTCGAGAGCTCAAGACATCAGCTGTATTCCTACCCCCCTACCCTACCCCCACCCCCCCGAGATGACTTATTTAGATTTAGGTTGTTATTTTGGTTGTAAGGATAATGTTCTTTTCACAAATGTTACCAGAAGTGTTTTTTATGGCGGCATGTTTACTTTTGGCTATAGAAACATAGCTGTAGTGCTCCATCGCCCTATAATGAGGCGTTTCTAATGAAACCCTTGTAGGCCTACAGATCAATTTCTTATATCAGTTAGGAATAGTAAAATAGTAATCTTTAAACTCTTCTGTTAAAGTATAAAGTTATTTTTTGTATAAAAGTGTAAAGTTGATATAGTATAGTATAAAGTACTTTTAAAACCTTTCGCCAGTGCTGGCGTTCGCCTGGCGAAGCTTCGCCAGGCGAACCTCTGAGTGAGGGAGGCCTTACTTTTAAACCCAACGTTTCGCCAGGGCGGGCGCGAAGGGATCGCCAGGCGCTAACATCTTGCATTCCCGCTAAATCTAGCGCAAATTTGTTTACATCTGCAGTGCACATAACATAACCTAAACTTAATTGTTAACCTCGAGAGAAGACGAAAATGTTGTTTCCGCAATAGTCTCACTTTATACTATAACAAAGGAGTTAAAATTTAACATTATGTTATAACAAAGAAGTTGAAAATATCTTTATACTATAACAAAATTAACTTTATACTTTATGCTATACTACACTTTATACTATAACAAGGTTAACTTTATGGCCCGTACTTTTAAAACCTTTTGCTTTTTCTCGCGTTTTTTTTTTTCATTCGCCGAAGCGTTAGATTTAGCAGGAATCCAGGATGTTAGCGCCTGGCGATCCCTTTCGTTCGCCAGGCCTGGCGAACACCTGCCTTGGTTTTAAAAGTAAGGCCTCCCTCACTCAGATGTTCACCTGGCGAACGCCAGCATTGGCGAAAGGTTTTAATAGTACTTTATACTATACTATATCAACCTTATACTTTTATACAAAAAATAACTTTATACTTTAACAAAAGAGTTTGAAAATTACTATTTTACTATTCCTAACTGATATAAGATATTGAACTGTAGGCCTACAAGGGTATTATTAGAGGCGCCTCATTATAGGGCGGTGCAGCACTACAGCTATGTTTCAATAGCCAAAAGTAAACATGCCGCCATAAAAAACATTCTGGTAATATGTGAAAAGAACATTATTATTACAACCAAAATAACAACAACCTAAATCTAAATAAGTCATCTCGGGGGGGGTGGGGGGTAGGGTAGGGGGTAGGAATACAGCTGATGTCTTGAGCTCTCGACTGGAACATCGAAGGTCTTGATAAAAAATACGGATTATACGTTTTTATAAATTATGATCTTTAAGATATTTTATAATTTCAAATGTGATTTATTAATATCATACACAAATATGTTACTATTTATAACTTGAAAAGCAAAGAAAAATGGTATTTCAAACAGCTCTCGCGCCTTGCTTCGCGCCAGGCAGTTCCAACATATCTTTCCGCCATGCCCTGGCGAACGTTCGCGCAGTCATGATTTTAATAGTACGAAATTCCGGATCGCCCGGCGAAACCTTTCGCCAGCCCTGGCGAAGGTTAAAAGTACAGGCCTTAGACTTTGTTGTATCTTCATATATAACTACACACACACACATATATACACACCTCTCACATCTCTTCTCCTTCTCTCCTCTCTCTCTCATGATTCTGTCTCTCTTGTCTTTCTCTTCTCTTCTCTCTCTCTCATCTCTCTCTCTCTCATCATTTCTCTCTCTCACACACGCACACACACACACACACTTTCTCTGCGTCTGTGTGGTGGTGTAATGGTTGCAGGTGGTGAGTCTGTGCTGTCTTTGCGTATCTTGCAGCGATCGCTGAGCGTACCAGTGAATGGTAACCCCGGCCAGTCTTGCCACCAGGGGAGATTTAGAAGCAAAATAAAAGGGTAGTCAGAAGCAACACGAATATCCATTGGGTAAGCATATTGAAAGTGAAACTAAATTAAATCTTAAATATCTTTTAATCCTCAATCTTTAAATCTGTCTCTCTCTCTTCTCTCTCTCTCTCTCTGCTCTTCCTCTCTCTCTTTCTCTCCTCTCTCTCTCCCTCTCTTCTCTCTCTCTCTCTCTCTCTCTCTCACTATCCTCTCTCTCTTCTTCTCTCTCCTCTCCTCCTCTCTCTTCTGCTCTCTCTCTCTTCTCGTTGCGACTCTCTCTCTCCTCCTCTCTCATCGTCGTCTCTCTCTCTCTCTCTTCTCTCTCTCTCTCGTCTCTCTCACTCTCCCTCTCTCTCTTTCTCTCCTTCTCCCTCTCCTCTCTCTCTGCTCTTCTCTCTCTCTCTGCTCTCTCTCTCCTCTCTCTCTCTCTCTCTCTTCTCTCTCTCTCTCTCTCTCTCACTCTCACTCTCTCTCTCCCTC